GGGGGGACAATAAATAAATAAATGATGCAACAGAATTGGGCGAAAATGTCCTGCAAAGAAACTAGTTCTGAAAATCTGGAGAAAGGAGCTTCAGGCGATAAGTGCTAAATCTCAAGAAAATATCTGCCTGGCCAAAGATAAAAATATTTTTCACTTTCACCTGTGTAATTCTATTTACGGAACATATTTTTTCGGGGGGGGGGGGGGGGGGGGGGGGGGGGACAATAAATAAATAAATGATGCAACAGAATTGGGCGAAAATGTCCTGCAAAGAAACTAGTTCTGAAAATCTGGAGAAAGGAGCTTCAGGCGATAAGTGCTAAATCTCAAGAAAATATCTGCCTGGCCAAAGATAAAAATATTTTTCACTTTCACCTGTGTAATTCTATTTACGGAACATATTTTTTCTTTGTAATTAAGATGCCTCACTATTTGTTGTGACCTTAAAACTGACAATGTTCGATTTTATGTCGTTTTCACAATTATGGATCCAATAATTGCAGACAGTGTCCGATGATGCCAATCGACCGATCAGAAAACGTCTCGCCCATTTGTTGAATGACAGCTCCAACTAGTACGGTGACCAAGCAGCATTACCTTTGTACAGTTTTCTTCAATTCCACATATGCCGGCCAGGCAGTGAAAATAAAGGGGCATTTCCTCAGGCATGTGGAACATTTGCATGGCGAATCTGCTTTTCTGAGCCACGCCGTTCACAGACAGCCATCGGAACGTGTGGTCGATGGGACATCTAAGCGGAACAAATAAAAGTGATTGTACATCGGCCATCTTGGGGGGGGGTTCAATTCCCTCACCCGTCTTCAAGGAAAATGCCCTGAACTTCATTCTGTGGGTCACTGGTCTCCGTGGCCCAGCAGGTCTCCACATGCAGCAGGACGTTGGAGGCAAAAGAGGCGTTGCCGTCCAGCGCAACCTCGAAGTACAACGTGTCCTCTGGGTCCATGCTGGCGAATTCGCGATAACTGCTGCGGAAGGACTTGTCGCTGAAGAGGTCCATGGTCAGGCCGAGCTGCAGGGAGGTGTTGAACTCCACCAGGGAGTAAGCGTTGAACCTACAAGGGGAGAAGGAGAAAAAAAAAAAAAAAAAAAAAAAAAACAGGTGAGCGCATCTTGAAAAACCAAAAAAAAAAAAAATGTCTGGACGCAGATCAAATTAAAATTAGAGCTGTTGCTAAATTTAGCAACCGTGAGTAGTCTACGCATTATAACCTGCTCTCGTGCTGATCTGGTTGTCATAGTAACAAGAAACCTCCCTCCCAGCCCCCCTCCAGCAGCCTTTTTGTTTCTCAAATGCCAGCAATTTAGTGTGTGGGGAAACTAAGCGCTTCAATGTCAAACGTGACTCACCATTTCAAATCGATGCTCACGTGGGCGTTGCGAATATAATGCAGAGGGTAGACGCACTTCCAGATCACTTTCAGATCCCTGCGGCTGATGGCTTCTTCCTTGGTCAAGGAGACTGCGAGGGTGTTTTGGAACTCAATGTGGGTTTTGTTCACCTGGGAGAACACAAAGTTATTTTACATACGGTGTTTGCCAATTTTATTTTATTTTTTTGCACAACTGGGGTAACTCAAACGGAAATCCAGCCTCCGTCGATCACCCTGGAATGTTTTCGAGCCGCGGGCAATTCCGGTCACTCACCCGCCTCTTCGTCCCACATTCAGAGCCGTGTCGGGGAGTGCGGAAGTGGAACAACGTTTCGGTTTCCTCCACTTCGCAGGTGGCGTTGTTCAGCACCACTTCCACCTTCCCGCCGATGTACGCAGTCAGGTAGGGTTTCGCCACGCCGCCGGTCATCACTTTCTCCAGACACTGGCTGAAAATGCCTTTCTCTGTGAAGACAGGCGTGCTTTGTATTGGTCAGCAGCAGACAGAAATGATCGGACTTTGGAATGGGGGTGACTCAACTGGAGAGCAACCGCACTTCCTTTCCTTTTAAAGGTCAGATTTAAATTTGTGGCTAATGCCTTGCTATGGTAAGCCAAGTTTGACGTTATTTCTCCACGATGCAGAGAGTAAAATAGCATTTAAAAAAAAACAAAAAAAAAAAAACGAACATTCGACACAGAAATGATTTCCATTACCATTGCAGAGCGGGTAGGAGGGCACCGGTGCCTGAAGCACAGCGCTCACGTCATAATAGCCCAAATTGCACGCGCAGTGGAATGAACCCAGCGTGTTGACGCATTGGGAGTTCTGCGGACACAAGGCGCGGTTGGACGACGCGCAAAGATCTGGACCTGAGACGACAAACGATTCCATGAGATGCAAGACAATGAGCCGATTTGACGCAATTCGCTCCTCTCCTACCGTGCCAGTAGACGAGTCCATCTCGAACAGAGACGTCAGCGTTGTCCAGGGACTCGATATAATCCGCGTGAAACTGAACCGGCAGGGGCATGTTGTCGTCTTGGTGGGACGCGTCGAAAAGCATCACGTGAACCTGCGTTTTGTTCACTTCGAACGCAGGTTCCATACCGACCACCTCCACGCGGATCGGTGGACGGACATCACTCAACAGGTCCAACAGCTGTGGGGGCACAAAATGGATGCCCCAAATAGGTAGTAGGGCCATTTCATTCAACAACGATATTCACGTGATGCATCAAAAACTGAACTGAATGTATTCACGAAAACAATGTCAGCGATGCAGGAAGCTGCGGCGTCTGACCAATTTTTGAATACTCTCCACCAGGGTGGTCGTCGCCTCGGCCATTTCGTCCTCCAGATCATCGGGAGGCGAACCCGGCACGACCATTCTGAGCACATAAATTTCTTCAGCTGCGGCAGAAAAACGAAAAAGCGGCCATCAGCAGCGAGGCAAACACGCATAAATTTCTTCAGCTGCGGCAGAAAAACGAAAAAAAGCGGCCATCAGCAGCGAGCCAAACATGTCACTCGGGGTACATTTTGGAGTCGGACCTCGGTCTTCATTGATGGAGTCGAGTCCCACGCCCCTCACGAGGAAGCCATATGTCGAATTGTCAACCGTGAAGCACAACGCCGTACGTTCCGACTCCCACCGGCCGTCGCACTGCTCCCACAGCTCGAGGACGTACGTCTTCCCGGCTGCCAGTCCCGGCAGTCGCAGCTCTGACTCTGTCAAAGTGTCCATTTGGAGGGCGCTGCCATTCTCCAGGGAGAGTTCGTATGAAAACGACAGGGCTGAACTGGGTGTGCCGGGAATCCACAAGGCTACAGAGTCATTGGTGCGGTACCGCAGTTCTAACACACCGCGGGGTCCTGGAAATTCAGACAATGCAGGATCGGTATGATTTTTTTTTTTAATCGATTTGTCCTTAGAATGCAGCTTTTGACAGTATTTCGAGTACCCGTGTGCACTGGAAGCGTCGCGGTGCTCATCAGCACGCCATCTCCACACAGCGCATCCACTCTGGCGCGGTAAAGGCGGCACGGTAGCAGTCCGTCCACCACGTAGTTGGTCGCGAGCGTCGTGCCCTGCAGCGTGTCCTCGTGGTAGACGCCGAACCTGGAAACGGAGGAGGCGTCGCTCACCTCCCAGCTCAGCGTGTAGTTGTCGGAGCCGAACGATGTCTGACGCAAGGCCTTGATGCTGGAGTGAGCTGCGTGACATCATCGGGTTCAACTTAGGTGTCAAGTTTCTCACTTGAGAGCGTAACGGTGACAGAACGTAGAGCTTACCGGTATTTCCACCGTTACGGATCATTTCACTGTAGTGGGTCTCAATCCCTGCTTGGCAAACCGTCTGCAGGCCAAACTTAACCTTGCTGCAAGGCTGCAGGCCGGACAGGGTAAAAACAAAGTCATCCCCTGCGAGCCAGACGGGCACCTCCTCCATGACGTGGTCCGTCCCGTTGAGATGGAAGGCCGTGAGGAGGAAGTGAGAGAACAAGAGGTTCTCTGGGAAGTCCCAGCTTAAAGATAGGCTGCTGCTGTTCCACGAGCGGATCCGAAAGTCTCGGGGAATGTCGGGATCTGATGGGGGGAAAAAGATATCAAAAATATTGTGCGGTACTTTTTATTTCATAGCCAAATTGCAGAATGGTTATCGCCAAACCAGGTGGGTGGAGGACGATTCTTAAAAGACACTTCCACACTGACCAGTTAAAGTCGAGAGGCAGGTGACAAGGAAATTGGCCTCGGGGTCCACGCATATCACATATAGAGTACAGGAGTTCAGGGAAGGGATGCGATAGCGATTGTCAGCGATTGTGTTCCTGCTGAGCATGTTATAGATCCCCCGGTCGGCACGGTACAGGGTCACATTGTGGGTGGTCCCGACAGGGGCTGGTCGGCCCACCGTCCACGACAACAGCAACGTGGTGGACGATCGGGCCTCCACTTTGACAGGATACCGCGACGAGTGGCCTGGAATGAAGACAAAGATCAAACAAATGATAGCTGTCTATTAATTGTTAAATAGTTGCATTTGAAGCGCACAAAGCATGTACTTGTATGTTCTTACCAAAAGCAAGGAAGAAGTTTTCAGCCTGAAAGAAGAACAGCGTGCCATTTTCACATGGGAACGCCTCCGTGGGATCCAACAAATCCAAGATGCTCTACAAACAAGGGTGATAAGGTTAGGAAAATAGCTTCAAAATCATCATTTTTTTTGGGGGGCATATTTTCCAGCACCTGTGTTGCACTTATTGGATGTTTCTTGGGTTTCTGTCGGCCGCTGACTTTGATTTGTTTGGTCCCTTAAAAAACAAAGAGCAATGTTTGAGAATCTGCTGTAATTAATGGATAAATGTCATGAAGAAATAAAGACTTATAGTGTGTTTACCCGGGGAAACTGTTAAAGTCCACGAGTGTAAAGTGCTTCCATATTCAAGCGTCACGTTGTTTTCTACAGATGGAGGTACGGTCAAGGACACCATTTCTCCATTTGTCCAGAGGTTTTTTAAAGCGGTGCCATTTAGCCACAGGTTGCCATAACTGTGAAACAAGAAGTCATGTTACCCGCTGAGTTCAGGCGGTCCATTTTTTTTTTTTCAATGACCTTGGATTTTTGAAATGTACAGATGGGTTGCCTTTTTTTTTTTTTTTTTTTTGCTTAAACACAGACGAGTGGTGGTCAATTTGTGGTACATTACTCAACACACTCGTGCTTTGCAAGCCCCCTCGACTGGTATGCAAAAAAAATAAAATAAAATTCTAAAGCAGCATTCAGTTGTATTTAACTTTTTTAGGAGAATACAAACAAGTTAATATTGAAGTGCGGTTTTAACAACTTTAATTACAGTTTATATTTAATCCATTTGACTGTGTTCTGTTTCTTTCATGAATGCTTTACACATTTTACTGTTGGCCATGATGGTGGTATTTGGAGAGTGTTTTATGTCAATGTGCACTAGGCGCAAAAGTTTGAGAACCATTGACAAGGGAGGCGTCAAGTTAAATCGACAGCACTGAAAGCACATCAATTAGAAAGCAAATTAGATCAAATATAATTCACGTTTTTGTTCGCATGAAATCAGGGAGCAGAGAACAGACACGGGTGCACTTAAGGAAAAACAAAATGACCTTTCCAGAGGATTACTTAAGTCCATCCAACAAATGGAGAAAGAAACGTCACCAGTGCGTCCTGTTCAAGAAATCAAAAAATAAAAAAAACATGTTTCTTTATGGATATCACAACACCTTAAAAGAAATTCGAAAGCGGCGCCATTCTCACCTAATGAGATGGCTTGAGCGAACAGTATGAAAAGTACGACTGGAAACTCAAAGGAATTCCTGGAAATAAAAACAGAGTTAATAAGACAGAAAATTTTACATTTGTTGATTTGTGTTTTCTTACATTTTTCTTCGTAATTCCAGCAAGGAAAACGCGTTTTCGTTCGGTAAAAAAGTAGGCTTTGCTGGAAAAAGACAGGCCACTAATGAGTGACAGGTGGGTGATGACGTCAGCTCACGTCCGCTTGGAATCAGGAAGTTAAGTAGTCGTCGTTGGGTATTGTTTAGAATTATAAAAAGAATGTAGACAAGTAAATAAGTATGTAGCTATGTAGAAATGTATGTTTTATACATTTTTTTGCCGACATATCGCATGTTCCCATGACGTTTGTGTGTGTGCCAACTGGAGCGTATCGTTTTGGCCTTCCAAGTAGTTCCTACATTGGCCTGTAGATGTCAGTGTTCACCCAAATGTAGGCGTGCAATTCAGGGCATACAAGCAGTACTTTTGTAAAAAACAAAGTATAAAAACATAACTGAAAGAGCCTTTTACAGGGGAAACGGAACATTAAATGGGAACTAAAATACAAAGAGCAACGATAGGTCTTGTCTAAAGTTAGCTGGGTTGGCTCCAAATCACCCGTGACCCGAATGAGGATAAGCAATATAGAAACTGATGAGTCCGTGTATATTCGTTTTTAAAAATAAAGGGGAAAGTTAAAAAAAAGAAAGTTCCAAAAAAAAAAAAAACAAACAAAAAAAAAACCAGATTAAAAAAAAACTCATTAGAACTCGTTTTCCGATTGTGTGTAAAATGTAAAATGGGGAAGAAACAGAAAACAGGAGATTTGTACGTTTCCTGTACTTCAGCTATTGTCATCTACCGCAAGTTGCAAGAGCCGGATATGTAGTTGCAGCTTTCAACTGACTTGTAACATAGTTCAGTACCGTCCAAATTGCCCGTTATTTCTTTTGGGCTTTTTTTTTCCTTTTTTCATTGGTACACGAAATCGGAACTCGGAAAACGAGTCTTTATTCGTTTTTGGAACGAATTTTGTCAAAACAAGTCCTTTTGTATTTTTTTACTTTCCGTTTTTTTTTTTTTTAGAACGAATAAACACAGATGATTGATACACGGATTCATAAAGTGTGCTAGTTTCCAGTGCGTGCTAACTAATTACATTAGGTAAAGTAAAGGCGATGTGTCCTCAATCAGATTGCAGCATTACAGTGCTTGCATTTAGGTCTGCGGGGTCCAGTGAAGAGCACTTTTGTCAGATTAGTCTTGTCAAATAATTGGAGTCACAAGGCCGTCGAGAGGCAGCCAGGCTGGTAGGGTGATTTGTCTCATCATGATCTGAGCTGATTGTGTTGTGGAAATATACGTGTTATTTAGCAAATATGGAGAGCTGGAAATGTTTGCTGTTGTTGTGCACACTTTGCTCGGTGCCGTCCACTGGAGAGGCAACAAAAAATGATGAGGAGATCGACCTTGTCAGCTTCCTGAGAGGAATCGACGCCGGACTCTTGGTGAGGGATGATCCATTCATTCTCAACACAGACTTTGGGATAAATTCCCTCGCTTGGGAAAAGCCGGAGGCCCTCTCGGTCACAAAAGAAAGAGAAGACAAACCAGTCAAGAAGGACAACGATGGGACTCCTGGACCTGTGGTGTTGACCAAAAACGGGCGAATCAAGGGGCTAACAGCAGATAAAGCCCAGATATTTTATGGAATACCATATTCAGACCCTCCGGTTGGGGCTTACCGCTGGAAGCCACCCAGACCTGTGAGTCCTTGGAAGGGGGTTTATGATGCCACCTTCCCCAGGTTACCGTGCGTGCAGGAGTGCAGAGGACCAATTGCTGCCGAATGTCCAAGAAATGTAAGAATCGACACATATTATACTGTGACACATTTAAAAGTATGGTATGAGACTGTATATTGAAGTAGTGGTTACCACGTCTGCGTCAGTGATGGCATTGTATGTTCTCGTGGATTTTCTCCGACTTCCTTCCGCATCCCCAAAACATACAGACAAAATGTTGCTAATCGTTAGGCTGCATATCGTAATCGACTTTAATCATATGTCCCGCTCAGGTCAGCGAGGACTGTCTCTATCTCAACATCTTCGTCCCCCGGGATGTGAACTTCAGCTCGCCGCCGAGCAGTCCGCTTCCCGTGATGGTGTGGATCCACGGTGGGGATTTCATCGCCGGTTCGGCTTCCAAGCCGCTCTACGACGGCCGCTTCATGAGCAACTTCACCCAAACGATCGTCGTCGCCCTGGAGTACAGATTAGGTGAGGAAATCTCACAGGGAGAATCATTAAAAAACTCATTCAGTGCCAGCCAATTCTAGACCAAGTCTGAAAAGACGTTTAAAAACGTCTTTGGGAGTGAATGAGTTAAACCATGAAAATAATGTTTATTGATACTGTATTTGAGCCTGAATGAGAATACATAATGTGCATGTGTGTGTGAGTCATTCTGTGAAAAGGGCTTTTGGGGTAGAACACATGACCGGGTGCTATGTGAAAGTAATTTTGCAAATGGCCGGTCCAGGAGAACATTGCGATGTTTGGAGGTGACTCCAGCAAGGCAAGTAATCATCCGTTTAATAGCAGCATGAACGGTAGTAGTGATTCTTTTATGTACCACTAGAGGGAGCTGTCGCTTTTTTAAAAAAATATCAATCCCAGCTGTCCGAGCTGCTTATGTGAAATCAACTCCAGCACTGGGCACATCAAGAGAGACAATGAAATAATAATAATAATTAATAATAATAATAATAAAAAAAAAAGAATAATCTCAAATTTGGATAGCTACTGTAAAAAGCTGAATTCTGTTCAAAATAACTGAATTCCCAACCGTGATTATTGACACGCGCTTCGACGGCGGTCATCGCGAGTGTCAAAAGTACTGAGGGGCTTTCGTGTCAGGTGACGATATTCGGAGAGAGCGCCGGGGCTCAGTCCGTGAGTCTCCACCTGATGATCCAAAGCAGCAAGGCTCTGTTCAAACAGGCCATTCTGCAGAGCTTGCCTTTCTCCATTCCTCTCAAGACCAGGTGAGTCATCTCTCCCACGCGGAATCGCTTTCTCATGTTTAAAAAAAAACCCCAAAAAACTATTTTCTCTTTCCATAGTCGCATACACTTGTTAGAAATGTTTCAAAAAGTCACAGGCACCTTCGCATTCCAAATGACTGTACAGTACTTCCAGTTTCTTATGGTCGTTTAGATGATCATCATCCTCATCATTCAATTTCCACTCACTTTCTCCCCTCAGACGCGACGCCGTGACGATCGGAAAGGAGTTTGCAAAACTGAGCAATTGTTCCGTCGGCGACATCGTCTGCCTGCTGTCGCTCACGCCACAGGCCGTCCTGGAAGCGCAGATGAAAACAAGTAGGGCAGCGCACAACAGCAACAGCGGCGGCGGCGGCGGCCCACACTTTGCACACTCGACCGTTACATAAGAGGCGCCGGCGAGTTTATGACCAAAAAAAAAAAAAAAACACACGTTTTTATCTTGATTGATGGCATCCCGCAAAGCAAAATAACTCTTAGGAGGAACCTTGAAAGGAGCTATTCGGTTTTTAGTGCTATAGTATATTTTTCTGAGCTGTGCTAGCCCTGAGACTCAAAAACAAAAAATCAGAAGGCGATTTATCAAGAGTGTGTTTCCTGTCTGACCTTTTGAAAGTCTGGTGTCAAGTCCCTTCAGGTTGTATTTTATTTTATTTTATTTTTTGGGGGGTTGGAGATAACTGTCAATTCTGTGATGCCAGTTTCCAGGCTGGTGAACCCGTTGAGGTTTATGGAGGCGTTCGAGACTTGGGGCCCCTTTATCGACGGCGAGCTCATCAAGGAGCAGCCGGTCACCGCCTTCCAGAAAGGCCACTGGCACAAAGGGAAACCGGTGCTGCTGGGTAAGACTCACACACACACACACACACACACACACACACACACACGGCTCATTACGGATTCCGGGCACCGAATTCCCTTTCCTTCTTATTATCGCGCTGCGCGATCCTGACACGGGATTTTGTTTTGTTTCTGCGCTCGCAGGTACGACGTCAGAGGAAGGCGTGCTTTTTGTGTACGCTTTCTTCAACAAGCCCGTGTCGACGGCGGAGTCGTTCATGTACGTCACGGCCATCTTCAAACAACACAGCCTACGGATACTGCACAACTACCTGCCTCTCTACAGCGACCCTGATCGGAGAGCCATGCTGGCTCAGGTGAGAGCCCGACGATTGACTTGGGCGCAAATAGTATGGGAGAAATACCCGTGTGGTTTAAAGCAACGGTCCCCAACATTTTTTTAAATACGGCCACATCATATATGATATATGATATCATTTAAATGTGCCTTCCAAATGAGATCACACCACAAATACAAAGCGCATGAAAAAATACGACTCACCATCGCAGAGTGGGAATGTCCCGTTGCGATAAATCCGGATTTTACGTCGGACTCCTGATATTGTCTTATTAAAATTACCCTTATTTTTCTTAAAAGTCATTGGTTCCTTTTCTGTCTCCCAGCTGGGCCTTTTCCCCTTTCTATAGCAACTTTCCAAAGATGATTTTTTTTTTACTCATTTTGCTTGCTCCTGGGTTTCATTTTATCGGTAACCTAGAAGCGCGCCTTGACCTGCGTCAAGAGTGACATACTGTAGACGGATGTAACAGAGGATCTGGTAATTTTTCAAAATAAAACATCTTTTAGAGTCCGAAATAAATAAAACTCAAGCAACTTATTTATTCTTTCTGTGCGGCCTGGTACCAAATGACCCGCGGACCGGTACCGGTCCGCGGCCTGGGGGTTGAGAACCACTAGTTTAAAGGACAGACATGTCAATAATGCCTTTATTTGGTTTGTTTTCTGCTTGTATTGCAGAAAAAGACTGATAGATGATTATGCGGGTAGTATTGGAAATACAACTAATCTAATGAGGCCTGAAAGACTTTTACGATGTCATAAATTGCGCACACTGTGGCCATCATTGGGCCCCTAGAGGAGCCCATAATTGTCTAAACAGGCAAGTAAAGCCTCAAGAGGTAGCGAGGAGGTCATTTTGATCCATTCCGAAGTTTAAAATATCGCATCATGACATTTTTCAGCGGGGAGCCGGCAACGCGAACTAAAAAGAGGATCATTTTTGCGCAAAACAAACCGCAGCTCGGTTAACGGCCACAGGAAGTTTGGCAGGCTTGCGTTCTTCCATTTGACTTTGGAAATCGAGCCTCGTTGCTTGCCTTTCGCATGATTGGGCAATTATTTGTAAATGTCGATGTCGGCCCTCTGTGCACAAGCGTGGAGCCTTATTTGGTCACGTGGAAGCCAAACACGATGTGAGGGAATTACAGAGATTGAGTATCATGGAGGAAGGCATCACGTTTTCTTTCTTTTTTTTTTTTTTTTATTGGCCAAATGCAAGTTTGGGACATCAACATGCTCTCTTATTTGTTTTTACGCGAGGACGGAGACACTGATTGCACTCTTAACGGGTTGCGGAGACGCTCTGTGTGGACTTTATTGGTTTATTCATCATGGTAATTTTTCGGACTTGCGCTTGAAGTGAAGACAATCACATCGGAAAAGACCACCAAATGAAATCCAGCGCTTTATACGTGATCATTCCAAAGCCGATTGTTCGCTTTTTACACGACAAATCACCGCAGTGTACTTCAGGAAAGAAGGTGTCTTCTTCTCCATTAAGAACGCCGACTACCATACGAAGCAAACACTTTAAAATATGTCTCTAAATATGAGCCGTGAAATGAATTGAGAATGCCGCCCCCCCATCCCCAGACATTAAAACTCTGACGAGCAAAGTCACTTTAAAGCTCTGCTGCCGGGCGCATTTAATTAAGCAGAAGAGACAATGTATGCAAATTAGATTTTTTTTTTTTCCCTCTCCCCAGCTCATGGAAAAAGATACTGCAGAGAAGCGCCTGTCATTTACAGTCCAATTATGTGTAAATAAGGATTTTTATTCCATTTCAAGAGTAATTTGGGGCTTTTAATTCAACCCGGAACACCCGATTTAGGGGAAAAAAAAGCGGGCGAACAAATAAAACTCTTCCCAGCGATTTGCATCATTAGTATGGGGGCTGGAAGCACTGGATGCAAGCTACCTGCATGGGGGTCACGGAGTTTGTCTGTTTGAGATGCAGCCGGGACTGCTCACGGCAGGAAGCGACTTGTCTGTCCGAAACACCCGCGGTGGCGGGGTCATCGCCCCCCACCAAAATAATTCATGAAGGCAGACATAGCTGGCTAAATGCGGGGACACGGACTGAGATGTTGATTTTTGAATGCATAAGTTTGGGGTTTGTTGATCAGATTGTGGCACCCTGCGTTCTTCGAACTTACATTCCACTTCCTGTATCGACTGCGTTCTGATCGTAGCTCAAAGTTAGCCCCCCAGTTTTTGTCCTCCCTCAAACGACGCGGACTCCATGCTCTTTGTTCGCTTTTAAAAGGAGTTCAGTTTATTTTCCAAAGGACGATGTGTCAAAATCAGCTGGTCGTTGAACTGTATTAGCCGCATTTAATAAACTCTCATTGGAACTGTTATAAAAATGGCCCCCGTATTTATATAGAACATAAATGTTCATAATACATTAAAAAAACTTTGTTTGGCACGTATTTCACATATAGTTATAAATGGCCTTGTATCTCGTCCCTAGCCTCCTCGCCCTGAAGCAAAAAGTAAATAAAAGACACTCACCCCGAATCCATAAAATGCCTGACTGAGAGTCGCAACGACATCCCGGTGATCGGAATATAAATCCCTTTTCTCTGCTTGACAATAAAAAGTAGATTGCAGTTTGGAAAGCCT